GAGTCTCAAAAGACATTGACACAAAGATATATGTGCCTCCAGGGCAGCACTTGGATGATGTGGTCAGCTTGGCTACTGCACTGGTCGGAAAGGCGGTCACTATCATGGTGAAAGAGCTGGCGCGAATACTGCCACCCAACGTTGAGAGGGTCATCAGTGGCACGCCCGTGGGCTTCTTGTACAGGATTCGTGACAACGATAATCTGCAGTTCAGACTGCGATATCTGCCTAAAGAGCCTAACGGTCGCCCGCGGCTTGTAAGTATTGATTATAGGATGAGAGTGAGGGTTGGAAGCCTCGAATTCAACCACAACGTCCCAGTATTGGACGTGGTCATTCAGAGGGCACCGAAATCAACGGATCCGCGTGAGGCCAGCACCAACCTCCCAATTGCAGGGCTTCCATGGCTGGTCGACGACATCAAGCACACATGGCAGTCGAGCTCGAGGGCAAAGCAGCGTGTGTGGGCGGGAAAGCGCGAAAAGAACCTGGCACGGCTCCAGGAGCTACAGAAACGTCTGGACGCGAATCGCTCAGCAAGAGAGGGCAATCTCGGACGGGTTGATAATGGGGTCTTAGAGTATCTACAAGACAAATCCAAACCGCCTCTGATTCCTGACTACCTGACACTGTTCGCTTGGGCTGAGGCACGCAAAAGGTACTTGGGCCTTCAGCCGGAGGCCGACCGTTCCACGCTGGCAAAGCAGAGCAAGAAGCAGAAGCTCCCGTTCTCACGGACGAAGCTCGACCAATGGAGAAGGGAGATGCAGAGCCTGTGACGCCGCTCCTGTAAGGGAAATATACTTGCTTCGGGAGAGACGCAACATCCTTCAGCTGCTGCTGCTGCTTGTAGATGCCTAAAGCCAGTACCGCAGAGGCCGAGCAAGACAACAACGTATACAAGTTGCAGAAGGCCCGAAGCTGAACAAACAGATTGGAGAACATGGAATACACAGGAGACCCTTGCCTGGTACGGAGTCGCACCTTCAGAGAGTCCCATTAGGTGTGTGCCCTACAGAAATGCAAACAAACGGGGTCTAATGAGACTGGACGAGAGGTGGCAAAGACAATCCAAATGCAAGTGGACGGTAAGTGCAGCGTGCTCTTACCCTTAATTCAGACGCAGAAGTCGGGACCTGAAGGCCTCGTTCTTCTTGTGGTTTCGAGCACGGATGATGAAGTTGAGCAAAAGCTGGAGGGTGTCCGTCCTCATGTTGTAGAAGACTTTCTCCCAGTCCGCCAGCCAGTCATTGATATGTTCTACGACTGATGTCTCGTCCTTTGCCTCCGGAAAGCGCTCTCCCAGGATGTAGTGCCTCGTGCACCGGTGCCCATATCCGTGGAAACCATCCAGACAGAAAGATGACCCCGCGATGAAGTTGGGGTTGCGCTGGAAAAGCAGGAAAGGAGGATAATGAGCAGGGGAATAAGCAAAAGATGCATGACTAAATGGCATCAGAGACAGTGCTTGCTTACGAGGGGTAGTTGCAGCAGTGCAGCAGAGAGAAGGCTGGAGAGAGGGGATCTTACAAGCTTTCCGTTGCGTTCCACCTGGCAGGAGTTGTCGTTGATGATGAGCTTGGGGGGGTGGTATTTGAATCGGGTCTCCAGATATACAATGACATCTTTCACAGACTCCGGCTCAAGACCAATGATGTAGTCCAGTACAACCCCGTGCCCGCAGGACATAATCGCAAGATTGTCGATGTACCGCTGCGAGTTCTCGACCTTTTTCTGGAGGGATTTCTGCATATGACAAACACATAAGCTTCTCTACGTGCAAGAGCAAGTAGCTGCCCTTGCATGCAATCAGAACTATCCAGAGAGCGTCTATGCTTCAGAAAAGAGGGGAACATTGCCGGTTGTGACGCAGTTGGACTTACCTTCAACCGTGGCTCCACGTTGGGGGCGTAGTTCCCTGTGCACTTCTTGTTCCTCTGACTCTTTAGCGCTCTTCCGTTCACCTTGTCCAGGGCGGGGTTTTGCGTGACGGGCCGAACAACCGAGTAGGAACACAAGCGCGCTGCGTTTTGGGCATAGCTTAGAGCGTTAGGCCCCAGATTGCATGCCTTCTCTTCCATGAACTTGAACCAGAACTTCCGGTACATGAGCCTCTCTATCTTCTCCACGTAGCGCTCCAGGTGCTCCCCGCGCTGTGCCCCCCAGTCAGCAGAGGCCGCGAGTGCCTCCTTTAGCAGCTCGACAGCCCGAGTCCCACAGTCAAGGTCCACCGCAAAGTAGGACATCTGAAGAAGGTGGATGAGGAGCGACTCGAGAGCGTCGAGCAACTCCTTTGATATCCAGTAGCCTCCATCGGACATCTGCGCCCCCTCCTGCAAGACCTTAGCCAGGACTGGGGACTTCTCCCTCAGATCCTTCCGCTGATCTGCAGTGAGTGTGACAGGCCCAGCACTCTTGCCCAGGAGCAACCGCAACACTGTGCTCTGCACGTCCTTGCAGATGAGGACGTCATCTGACTCAGGCGACCCGAGATGGTAGAAGAGGTTCCTCCAGGGCCCCTCCGGGCACCCCATCTTCCGCACGGTGATTCCATGCCCAGCCCCCACGACATACTCAACCAACCGCCGGACGCACCGGGGGAGCTGTGGCAGCATAGCCTGCAAACAAGCGCAAGATGATCACAACCACAGAGAAAGGACGTGGCTCACGTGTCCAATAGCAGGATCACAAAGGAAGAGACAAGAGCACGTTGTAGCTTATGGCCCCTACGCATGTGCAGATAATCAAAAGAGACAGAGAGTCTCCCTAGGGAGGCTAAAGTGGCATCTCTCAACTTGAGGATACTCTCTGGAAAAAGCTCGCTTTTCGTGTATATGTGCAGGCCGTGCATCTGCACTTGCAATCACAAGAGCTTATGGCCCCTACGCATGTAAGAGATCGGTCACAAAGAAGGGCTTTGCTGCTCACCACATACTCTGCTGCGCTCTTGAAGACCTCGTTGCCCTCGATTGGAGTCCCTGCCGTGACCTTCTTGCTATCTTCCGGCCACATGACAAGCGCCTGGCTCCAGCGCAGGAGCTGAGTGCGCGGTCCGGTCTTGGGTCCGATCGGTTGCCCGGTCTTCTTATCCTTCTTCCGCTTGACGCCTCGTGGAATCAGCTTCATCTTCTCTGTGACTGTCTGCTTGCTCCCCTTTGTAGGCAGGAGTAACACGGGGTCTTCATCAGAGCAGAGGCACTGGAGAGAGTAGGGGCTCAGTGGGGCTGCCTGAAGGACCTGACCGTTTGATGACCGAAAGGGACGAGTGAAAATGGCTTCCCGTATCGATCTTTTGCGGTTTTGAGGGCCAGGGTTCTCGTGGCATCAATCACAATCGTCTGCGGCCCGCCAGCGGCTTCGCACTGGGCACATGTTCCCAGGGCTGAGGGCCGGTTGATGTCTTCAAGATCCACCTGGGTCAGCGTGGGGGCGTCGCTGTTGCCAAACTCGCTGTCTTGGAATCGCTGGCGCGCTGCCTTGACTTCCTCAAACTCCAAGTCTTCTACCGTGTCGTCCTCGAACTTGACCTGCAAATTGAAAGACGGGGACGATACTCTCAATGGTTTGCTGCCCATATGTTCCAGGACTGTGACATCGATACAATTGTCCGTTGGTCTGCCTAGGCATATCTGCCATGGCTCCATCTTGCAGTCGCCCCAAAGGACGAAGCCCAGACTCACAGCAGGTGCTTTAGGGCTGGCTTTGACGCCCAGAAAGACACACACCTTGGTTATCAGTGCGAGTGGGCTGGGCTCTGAACTGGGGTTCAGGAAGGATGTACCTTAGTACCCCCTAGCTGAAGGGATTTCAGGATCTCAAGCCTGGAAGTACCCAAGTCTCCATTGAAGCGTTGAACTGTTGCTAACCCTTTGAAATGCATCCAAGCAACCAGGAAAGCCCCATGCAGACAGGCGCTTCGCTGCTCAAGGAATGAAGAGCCATACCTGGTACACATAACCGCTTTCCCCGTTGCTGAGCGGCCTGGGCCCCACCCGCTCCATCACCTGTCCCCTGTACTCTCTATTCCAAGTCGGTCTTTGAAGGAGCACGTTTGCCCCAATTGTTTGAGCGAAGGGTGGGACCGGGTGCCCCCTGCCGGTGGGATCTGGGTTGTTGTCAACGTAGCCCTCAGGGAGAGTGTGCACAAGAGGGGCCAGCTCCTTGAAGCACATGGTTTCACGGTCTTCGTCGTCATACGCAATCTGCAAAAGGAGAGCTGCCATGAAAGCAGGCTCTATTGAAGGTGCCAGCTCACCCTCGTATGCATGATACTGTGTGCAACAGCTCCCGCTAGACCATGCTACTCACAACGCGCCCAGTATTGTGTTGAACTGTGGAGGCAGATGTGCAGAAACAAGGATGATTCAGAGATTCCCTTGGGGGGCTGAACCGCTATCATGTGCGCAGACCATGCCAATGCAGCAATGAAACACGACCATCCTCACGTAGCACAATAGAACTGGCAAGAGCTTACCTTCCACTGCTCCTTCTCAAAATTATAGCCAGAAACCCGTCCCTCGTAATCGCCCCCAGCATGTCCCCCAACTCGGTCATCGGCCCTGAAGAACTTTGTGAGCAGGGCGTCCTTCAGATCAAGAGGATTCTCAGGGGGGACGAACAAGACGTAGCCTTTGCCTCCAGGTTGCCCGCTCTCTGGCTTGAACTCTGGCTTGTGAGGGGGTCTCTCCACGACGCTGGTGGGCTCGAGCCTGGCTTCCTTCCGCCACTGCTCGACCAGGTGGTCATCCAAGTGCTGCAAGTAGCGCTCGATGCCCTGACGCGCCTTGTCCTCACACAGCATGCGGGTGTCCTGCTCGCCATCTGCATTCGAGCAAAAGCTGATCTGATATCTAATCCCTTCTAGCATTCCTGTTTTCCTGGTTGGATTCTTTATTACAGTCTTCGTTGAAAGTGTCGCAGGTTGCGTGTAACGCTCGATTT